TACGAGCCTCCCAGACAATCATTGCATGCATTATCCTGTTTGAGCTCATTCCGCTGTATGGTCTTCTTGGCTTCATCCCAGCTGTGCAACGCGTGGGGCTTGGTCTCCATCAGCCCTGGGAAATGTATCCTTTGGGGGCTGTTTATGGTCTTGTCATGGGTGGACTGTCATCATACTGTCGAAGCTTCTTCGGGCAACTCATTCCCCCAGGCTACGAGGCGGCTTTCTACGCCCTTTATGCAATTACCGATAAGGGGTCCAGTGTTTTTGGGCCAGCCATTGTTGGCGCCATTACGGATCGCTACGGTGAGATTCGACCGGCGTTTATGTTCTTGGCAGTTTTAATTATTGTGCCACTCCCACTTATGCTTTTGGTAGATGTTGACCGTGGGAGACGAGATGCTTTAGCGTTGGGAGCCGAATTGGATGGCATCCGGCAAGGATCCGAAGTTGGGACCATATCCGATGGTCAGACCACACAGGATGCGATTGAGGGTGGAATATGAATGCGATGTGATGAGTAGAATTGCTTTTTGTGTGAAAGAGGGAGAGAGAGAGAGAGAGCGTCTATATGTTGGAAAACTATTTTCCATCTTGGACTAGAAGCAATGGAAGGCAAATAAGGGTATTGCCATATTTCAGGATGTTCAATAGGGGACATAAAGTAGTTCATAGCACATGGCTAATCACGATGTAAAGGCCACTTGTCAACAATGTGCATGCATTAAAGATCAAGGGCATGTCTCCGTTGCTGTTGTAGACTATTTGTACTATTTGTATTATTTGTATCTGCGCATTGTGGGGATAAGTACCGAATACTTTCAATTTGCATACAATTTAGTTTGACTGCCAAGGTACCAGGTACCTGAAGGGGAGGCCCACGGGTCCGCCCTTGCAGCCCTGCATAGCCCAGTCACAAAGCTCCACCTTTAGTGAACAAGCTGTCCTCAAGTTCCCGTTCCCCAAATAAAATCTTCTTTCTCTGAATCTTTTAAGCTTGTCTCTTTCTCCTTTTCAACTAGCATTTTTGGCTTTTGTTTGATTTAGATCTCTTCATTATGCGGTCTTTCGCCCCTCTGGTCCTTAGCCTCCTTGGAGCTACTGCGGCAGTTCATGCTGCTGAGCCTGAAGTTGCTGATGCCGATGCCAATGTCGTCACATTGACAACCGATACCTTTGATGACTTCGTCAAGGAGCACCCTTTGGTGCTTGCTGAATTTTATGCGCCTTGGTGCGGTCACTGCAAGGCCCTTGCCCCCAAGTATGAAGAGGCTGCCACAGAGCTGAAGGCCAAGGATATCCCCGTGGTCAAGGTGGACTGCACCGAGGAGGAGGAGCTGTGCCGAACCTACGAAGTTGATGGTTACCCTACTCTGAAGGTCTTCCGCGGCCCCGATTCACACAAGCCCTATGCTGGTGCCCGCCAGTCTGACGCGTACGTCATTCTCAATTCCTGGCTATTGTGCTTTGGAAATTAACGCGCTTTTTTGATAGAATCATTTCATACATGACCAAGCAGTCCATGCCCGCCGTCTCAAACGTGAACGAGGAGAACCTGGAGGAGTTCAAGGCCTTGGACAAGATTGTGATTATTGGATACGTGGCTTCCGATGACCAGGCCGCCAACAAGAGCTTCACTTCGTTCGCTGAATCTCAGCGCGACAACTTCCTCTTCGCTGCCTCCAACGATGCTGCTCTCGCCAAGGCCGAGGGTGCCAAGCAGCCTTCGATTGTCCTCTACAAGGACTTTGATGAGAAGAAGGTCGTGTATGACGGAAAGCTGGAGGATGAGGCCATCCTCGAATGGGTCAAGACCGCCAGCACCCCTCTTGTAGGCGAACTTGGTCCCGAGACCTACTCCAAGTACATGGCGGTATGTTTAGCTTCTTCTGTTCTGTTTTTGAGCAAAAGAAGAAACTGACATCCTATCACTACATAGGCAGGTATTCCTCTGGCTTATATCTTCGCCGAGACTCCTGAGGAGCGTGAGCAGTTCGCTACTGATTTCCGTCCCATCGCTGAGACCCACCGTGGAGCTATCAACATTGTTACCCTCGATGCTAAGCTCTTCGGCGCTCACGCTGGCAACCTCAACCTGGAGGCCGAGAAGTTCCCTGCTTTCGCTATCCAGGACACTACCAAGAACGCCAAGTACCCTTACGACCAGAGCAAGAAGGTTGATGCCAATGATGTCGGCAAGTTTATCCAGGACGTTCTTGACGGCAAGGTTGAACCTAGCCTCAAGTCCGAGCCCATTCCCGAGACTCAGGAGGGCTCTGTTACCGTAGTTGTTGGCCGCAACTACCAGGAGGTCGTCATTGACAATGAGAAGGATGTGTTGGTCGAGTTTTACGCTCCCTGGTGCGGACATTGCAAGGCGTAAGTTTGCTCTACAGCTCATCTGCAATTTGTCGCATCTCTAACTGATTATCACCAGCCTTGCCCCCAAGTACGACGAGCTTGCTGCGCTTTACGCCGATGTCCCCGAGTTTAATGAGAAGGTCACTGTCGCCAAGGTTGACGCCACTGCCAACGATGTGCCCGACTCGATCACTGGCTTCCCCACTATCAAGCTCTACCCCGCTGGTTCTAAGGACTCTCCTATCGAATACGCCGGTTCCCGTACCGTCGAGGATCTGGTCACTTTCATCAAGGAGAACGGCAAGTATCAGGTGGACGGCCTGGCCGATAGTGTCAAGAAGCCTGAGGAGCATGCCGAGGTCACTGAGGCCCCCAAGGCCACTGAGTCTCCCGCTTCCGATGAGCAGGATATTCATGACGAGCTTTAAGCGCTCACCCGCTTTTTGAACGTTTAACTTCATGTGTTGTATTCTTTGTCTGAACTCAGACCATATTTGATGCCTTCTATTCCCCGTAGATTTAAAGATTGTTGTGTCAAATTCTGGATCTGCAGTGACTGGTAAATTAGTAAACTATTCTAAAATTCTACAAGTTCTGCCCATGTAGATTTCCCCAATCTCAGCCTAGCAGATCAATCGCGTCGCGTAAAACCCGTCAATCTCTTATCGCCCCGGAGCTCCCGCCAACTTCCAACGTTCTGACATCTCTTCAATCTAAGGTTTCATAGTTGCCCACCATGGTGAGCCCTGCTATAAAACGAAAATCGGAGCATCTCTCCGGCCCTGACTCCAAAAAAACCAAAGGTGGAAGCATTACTGCATTCTTTGGAGCTCCAAAGCCGAACCTCCCGAGTAACAAAGCAACTTCAACTTCAACACCAACCTCACGGCCAAGCAGCTTTATTAAGGCAAAATGGGCTGCTACCCTAACTCCAGAACAAAGGGAACTATTGCAGTTGGAAATTGATACCTTGGATGAGAGCTGGCTCGCTCACTTGAAGGATGAAGTGGTCAGCACTGAATTCTTAAACTTGAAGCGATTCCTGAAGAAGGAGAAAGATTCCAATGTTAAGGTCTTTCCACCAGAGGAGGATGTGTACTCTTGGTAAATTTGATCACTCTGTTTGGCCAAGCCCGTGTGCTAATCAGACCGCAGGTCCCGACACACACCTCTACACAACGTCAAAGTGGTCATCATTGGCCAGGATCCATATCATAATCACAACCAAGCTCATGGACTATGTTTCTCCGTCCGTGCCCCTGTACGAGCCCCGCCATCATTGCTCAATATCTACAAGGGCATTAAGATCGACTATCCCGACTTCGAGTCACCGCCCGATAAGGGAGGGCTGCTCATACCTTGGGCTGAGCGTGGCATCCTAATGCTCAACACTTGCCTTACCGTCCGTGCCCACCAAGCTAACAGTCATTCCAACAAGGGCTGGGAGAGATTTACACAGAAGGTTATCGATCTAGTTGCTCGGGTCCGAACCAACGGCGTTGTCTTTCTTGCTTGGGGCCGTCCTGCCGGAACTAGAGTTGCAAAAATCAACAAAGAGAAGCATTGCATCCTACAATCTGTGCATCCCAGTCCTCTTAGTGCGCATAATGGCTTTGTGAGTAGACCATCCTCTAGTGACTTGTGCCCCAAACCTTTTTTGCTGACGGGATTGATCTATAGTTCAAAAACGGACACTTCAAGAAGTGCAATGATTGGCTTGCTTTGCGGTACGGAGAAGACGAAATCATTGACTGGAGCTTAGTGCCATCCAAAAAGCCTCCATTGGCTGCTTGCGTTTCTGACAAGGAAGATTCGACTGCTTTGGCCAACAAGGTGCCAGTTGAGCCTCGATCTGCCACGACTGAGGATGTCAAATTCCAGCCTAGCAAGGTTGATGAGTTCGATGATGATGATGCTATTGAAGCCCTAGTAGCGGCCGAAGCAGAAAATTCTTCAAAAACAGTCTAGGTTTCTTCAGCTGCATGCATACCTGTCACCTTCCTGGCCTAGAAGAGCGCTGATTTGGCTCTGTGTGTTTTCCATATTGTTTCAGCCGGGAGATATCTAACCAGTTCAAAAGAAGCGGGCGCATCCAAAGGGATGCCAGATCGATTTTCAGACCCATTTGCACATTTACACGAACTGATTGTCACATTTAGTTTGTTGATGTGTCTATGTAGGTGTCTACGCACGGAAATCCATGCATATATACTCTGTACACGATTAGTACACGATGTTTGCTCAAGTTCATTGGTTGACTCCCAATCTTGGAAGCTCCTTATCGATAAGCCTATCTAAATCTCCTGCTGCTGCTGAGAAATCTCCCCTATGAAAACACCCCATGTAAATGATTCCATAGATGGAACTCACTTGGCTTCCAGATATCCCTCAGTCGCGGAATCGCACTCGAGCCTTGCGAGCTTGTCCCACGTGCCAACGATCAAAGGTGCGTGCACGATGGGAATATTGAAGCAATCCTCCATCTAATTTCGCAACAGAAACAGTGCCGACATTTGTTTCCCAAATGGGAGCCGCCCAATGACCTGAATCGATGATCACCACCCCAATGGAGCCATGACCCTGGGAGGGCCATCCGCATAGACAAATCTAATCCCGAACAGCTTCCTACATCCGCGCACATGTACCGAGCACAGACAACATCCGACAGTTCAGCTTCGTGTTCGCTCCCTGCCACCGAGCGATTCGTAGGCGATCTCAATCTAGAGTCCCTGATTCGTGAACGATTAGATGAATCAGCTGGGAACCCTCTTCGGGATCGGATCGGGCTCTGGATCAGCTCCCCAGCTGCACAGAAAGCGAAGCCTCGGAGCGTGCAGAGAGAACAAGCCACAGGTAAAGAACATGTTATCAATACCCCGGCACAGGGGCAAATCCATGGCCGAGCCATAGCATCGTTACTTCACCAACGGTTTGCAGCGGGGATACAAGCATGCGAACAACTACCCCTCGCGACGCGCCAGTCTTTGTCCGCTATCTACTTCTCCAAAATTGATCACATTGTGCCAATAGTCGACCAGAAAATTTCCCAAGCTCAAGCAGAAGGTTCGGCATCGGTGTTTCTCGAAAAAGCCATGTGTCTCTCCGCTGCAAAGACACGCGCGGCCAATCCCCACTTACGCCTTGTGCCAAACAGCCCAATCTTATCGTCACGCCGATTCTGTTCTGAGATTTACAAGGGACTGGTTGCTGCTATGGAAGCAGAGCTAGAACCGGATCGGTTGACACGAATCCGCATTCTTACACTGATGTCCTTGCACTGTAAGGGCCTTGAAGGGGCTGAGGCGGCATCTCTACACCTCTGTCAAGCAATCCACCAGGCCCAGACGGTAGGATTGCATCTCAGCCGGTCGAATCAAACCTCCATGGACTCCCTGACTAAACTCTTCTGGTGTCTATGGACATTGGACAAGATCCACGCAAGTATCGGTGGCCGGCCGGTTCTTCTAGCTGACCGCGATATCGGGGCCGTGAACCCCAATGTCGGCGCTCAGACGTCATGAGAGGCGTTTGAGGTGTGGCTTGCTGTGTCAGATCTGCTAGCAATTGTGATCTCGTTCTACCCTCCCTCTGCAGAGACCACTAGCGGGTGGGAAGAGGGGTTCTTTGCATTTGAGGACATTGTGGGGGGCAATACCAAAGGTGATCTGGATTTTGCAACCCTAGGTATGTTCATCATAGAGATGTCTGCTGTGTCATTGAAGCTTCGAAATAACCGCAAGCAGGATTCTTGGAACTTTACTACCATTCTGTTGCTATTCTGTTCTGTCGGTATAAACCTACCGAGAACATAGATAGCACAAGGCTCTCGTTGGTCAGACGAGGACTAGCAGCTGTTCGAATACACTCCATCGTCGCATCGGAGTGTGCAGATGAACTACCACCCCTTCCAATCGTGCCATACTCTGTCACCTTGTCGATGGGTGTCTCGTACCGCCAACTCCGCTCGAGCAGACTTATCACGCACGTCGACTGAGCAAAAGCCAGTCTTGGGGCGTGCCGTTCTGTTCTAAAAAAAACCTAGTCCCTACTGGTATTCTGCCGAGGTGATGGCCCAGCTGGGCCAAAAGCCTTGCACCAGATTCAAGGGAAGCAACAATTCTTTCGGGCCAAAGCTACGGGCCAACGGCTTGTAGCACAGTCCTTGCACAAACAAGTCAACACCAACAGCTCGGTAACAGGGGGACTAGAGATGATGATGCCGTGCCCCAAGGCAATGATCCTCCACAAGCCAAGAGGCAGCGCAATACCAGCCAGAGAGTTGCAGCTGAATCTCCGGTACCGGAAATCGCAACAGACGTCCTCCAACCTCCGGTAGACGATCTGGATACCTCTTTGCAAGAGGGGTTTGCAGACATTGACACGCTCTTTGGAGACTTCCTGGATATCTCTCTACCCACACATTTCTGGGACCCTGTTTTTCTGGAGACTCAAGGGCTACCAACGGATCCGTAGTCATAATCATCATCATTATAAAAATATACTGTGTATAAAAAAGGGTTGAAAAAAAAAGTACATGATCCAGCATAGATTTTTTATGCCGAGCCATTCACCTGTGCTACCTTCCAACAGGTAAGATATACCCGGAGCACACAAGAAGCTATCCATCGTATTTACAGGCCAGAAGCTGACTGTATCCAATCCTGAGTTGCCTCTCGAATATGGTATTCAGTCTTAAAGCTTCATAGGCTCATGCTCAGACATGCTGTTGTCCGCCAGATGGGCGAAATCAACAGCATTAGGATCATTAACAAAGCCCATCATGTTCACGTTACCAACGTCGAAATCAAAAACTTTTTCCAGAACCGGGGCACTGTTTGCACCGTTTTGCTGGACATTGTCATCAGCAAAGAAATCGGTATTGCCCGTATCGTCAAAGTTAATGAGGGCGTCGAAGTCATTCTGGTTGACCTCGGCATCATTTGCCAGATCCATGAGTTCGGTGAGACTCATTTCAGAGGGCATAGTAAAGGCATCACAATCCTTATTGTGGTTGACATTCAGATTGAGGTTATTTGTGCTGCCGTTTTCGCTTTCATCGGAGTGTGGTGGCGTTGAAGCGAAAAAATCTTCGGTAGATCGTCCCCCTGCGGAGGGACCAGTGAGTTTGGGATATATAAGGTCCGGGATTTTCTGAGCGAGGGAATCCGGCGGAGGCGTCAGGGCGTGCAGACGAGAAGGCATGGTAGTGGTGGTGTCGAATGAGTCTGAGGATGTGGTAGGTTGGTCGCGGGGATGTGATGAGGCAGAAGAAGAAGACTGAACTTCTTGGGGGGAAACGGTGAGCTGGATGCCTGCTTTGCGGATTGCGGCTTCGAGAAAGGAGGTGGCGAAGTCTGCAGAAGCGTAGATCTCGCGTAGGCGCTGGAGGATTCGCATGCATTGATAGAAGCGTTGGAGGCTTGTCATGCGGATGCTCGGGTCAGTGGACTTGATGTCGAGGAGATGGATGATGACTGCTGGTAGAAGGACTGTGACACCGGTGGTAGGGTAGTACCGGGTCAGATCGAGGCAATGCAGATCCTGGGCGATGGCAGTGATCTCGACTGCGGCGAATCGCACCTTGTTTCGGGACATGTCTTGGAGTTCGGCGTCGGCGGCCGGGTAGGGCATGGCAGGGAGGACTTGTGGGCGGTGCAGAGCGCTGGATGTGGTGAGATAGACCATTTTCAACAAGGCACGGTGGGAGTGAAGCACTTCCTCTGCTTCAGATAGCTTTGATCCACAAGACGCTACATATTGAGTTTCGACAGGGAGGTTGGCCAGCCAGTCCTCCAATTCCTGGTCACAACTTCGTACCTCAAAGGTCTCGGCAGTGGATTTCTTCGGGACAAGCATCATCGTGGTCTCCATAGTGCCGCCAAACTTGTGGCTGAGGACCGAGTACTGAGCAGATAATACATGGCTAACACAGAGGCAGAGCTTCGCCTTCTCGATGAACATCAACGCGAGTTCGCGCTGGTGGCTGACATTCTGGAGGATCTCCGAGTTACCCACTATGGCCACAATCTCGGGAGAGAAAGGGTGAAATTCAAAGTCATCCAGACTTAGCATGGGCACATCACAGTCGTCGTCCTTGACACGCATGGGCCGTCGCATGCCCAGGGCAATCAGTCGGTCACGGGTGTAGGTGCTCCACCAGATCCGCTTCCACAGGCGTTGGCGACGCACTTCCATCCGCGAGTTTCCGGGGTCCCGATGTAGACCGATCGTGTGGGCCAAAGACAGACTGACACCCATCCAATGCCAGGTGTCTTTTTGGTCATCGGGAGTCTCGTACCAGTAGGTCATGAGCAGAAGCGACTGCACGAGCGAGATGCGGTCCACCTCGTAGTCGAAGTCGTACAGAAGACGGGCACGCTGGAAGAAGACTTTCCGGGCAACCTTGCGGGTCTGGTAGCCGGCGGCCTGTAGATGCTTCATATCAATGAAGGCCACGCCGGCGAACATGACGGCCTGGAAGAGCAGCAGACTAATGCGGTGGATTCCATCGTTCTGGACGATATTCTCCAAAAACTCCTCCAGGTCGAGCAAGGGCATATAAGTGTGAACATAGTGGATGTAGCTCTTCAATAATTCGTTCCGTAGTGTCACGTCGGGGATGGTCAAGGCACCCTTGACGGCTAAGTAGTCAATCTCCTCTTTTTGGAATCGTGCGGGGAGTCCTCGGATATAATCCGGGAGGAACCCACTGGCATATCGTGTATTGCCAAAATTGGGGTCTAATAGTTGTTGAATTTGCGTGGCCACATTGGCTAATGGCATCGAGGCAGGAGCTGCTGGGCTCGGGGCCATATGGCGTCGATAGTGGTCATCGGTGCCGATGCGATGAGCCTGATTTTGATCTGTTTTTGGGTTTTTTGCTTGTCAGCCAAATGGAGTGCCTGTAAGTTCTGAGGGAATGGACGAACATAGCAGATGAGGCATATGCTGACCCTGGTCAAAATCCACCGAGGTCTGTGAGGGAGACGTTGGCACCAAATCGGCCAACCCTGGAAGACCACCAAGTCGGTGGAAAGAATTCTCCTCTGAGGCTTCCGGAGACTCGGAGTGGTTCTCTACCTCAACGCGAGATTTCCTAGATGACAGGTTAGTGAGTTTTGGAGGCCAATTAATTTTCAACTTCACGAACTTTCTGCGTTTACTCTCCGTGACCACGCACTCAACCTGATCTAGACGGCAATTTGTGCATGGAGAGCCATTTTCCACCACATCACAGCGCACTTTACGGGCACGGCAACAGCAGCAGGCTTTTGAGGCGCGTCTCTTCACGGGACGGTTATGACCGGGGAGTCCGGCTGTGGAGGCCTTTCGTTTCCCAGATTCGGTATCAGTCATGTTTTGTTATTGCGTCTGGGGGGCGAATGGAGGACATTCGAGTTATAAAGAGACACTGGACATATGATAAAAAGAGCGGGAAAGGGAATGTCACGATGTGTTAACATATGAAATGGGTGGGGGGGAAAGAAAAGGAATAAGACAGAAACAGAAATGGAAATAGAGAGGGATCCCTTTATTTTATTTTTTTTTAATTTGAGAGGTTTAAGTATGCCCCAGGTTCCCACAGTTTCTCTTACCATGGTTGTAAATCCACAAACCATGGTTTGAGGGGACTACTATGTACTTTGTAGATCTGCTTGGAAAATAAATTACCGTTTCAATCATGTATCATGTATTGTAAGAGTTACCTAGTTGGGTAATATGTCACTAGCCCAGGGTGGGGTAGGTTGAACACTATCACGGCCTTTGTTTGGCCCTTGTTTGATCTGTACCGTCCTTCGGCCCGGTCACGTTACGTGTCTTGGTCTATGATATCATTCTCTTCAAATCCTTTTTTTTTCTTTACACAAAGTATGGAGTACGGAGTACTTCTAAGTAGTGTTTTCAAATACCATCTGCCCAAGTCGGCTACGTTCGTATGCCTACGTCGTATAAAATTTAGATTTGTTGTTATTATTCATATCAAGTATCTTCATTTACATCCCTTTTATATTTGCTCCTTTTCCCTTGCAAAGTGGGCCTCGCATCGTCCGAGAAACACCGACCCCCCCCCCCCCCCTTCCCCCCAAAAAGGTCGTGAAGATCCTAAACTGCGGGTCAACGTGGGAAAAAGGGGAGAGTGTTTAGGATTTTCGCACATTCCCCCGACCGTCCCAGACTTTTCGGCCAAGACTGGAGAGTGTTCTCCAGTCTCCGACAAGCGGAGCCCATGCGGAGGGATTTTAGCTCTTTTGAGGCGCATGCCTGAACGTCTGGACCGATGAGTAATACGATCAACCCTCTTGGTTTCAGCATTGAAATATATCTGGACGACATTCATATTCTGTACTTACTCCGTACTCCGTACATTATAGACTAATGTAGTCCGCAGAAAAAAAAGTTGACCTATTGATCAATGCCTGAAACCATAGAATTTCTATCATTAATTCCCTCCGTGTAATGCCATACTCCGGCTAACCCTGCGTAATGGCACGGTCCTACAGGCTCCATTTTAATACAGCTCTGTTAAATTATTATAAATCTTCGAGTCCAGGCCTTTCACAGTGGAATGACATTTTTCAATCCTGTGAGACAAGTAAATGATTGTACTTTGTATCCAACCGAATGATGACAACAAACCCGGAATCATGGAGTACCCCTGAGGCCAAAATGAAGACATATCCCGCACCGTGTTTCATCCGGCCTGCCGATTTAACCCTCACGTGGACCCAAAGTGCCGATTTTCGGAAGAACGCAACATTCTTGAAGTACTCCAAACCAAAAATCATTAATGTACCTTGTACTCTACGGAGTTCTCCCTTCTTTAATTTTACTTTCCTGTCCATTCCATTCAAAAAGATGTCACTCTCGGAAACCCTCAATGCCTGGAATTCCAAGTCCAATGCAGAGACATGAAGAAATGGGAAATTTTCTCGAGCGGATCTTGTGGGACGCCAACCACGAACATGGCAAAGGTCAATGCTGTACGGAGTAGAATATCGTTTATTATGGTTCGTCAAAACCGGATCTTCCCTTTGGAAATTCTATTTCTGCCCGGCATATTCCGTCCAATGAATCAAATCCTGGGGTAGAGACTACTAGAACCTCTACTCTGTAGATCGTGACTACGTTCCTCTTTTGAATTTTCGAACCGGACAGAAACCAAATTGAATACCTTACTCCGATGTATTGCCGACTCTGCCGTCCGAATCGGAACCGTTCGGTTCCAACCTCGGAAGGTGACCAGGTTTTATATGCATGCATGCATAATTTTTTTCTCTCTAAATACCAGGGCTTCGAGCCCGATGATAGATCCAGTCTCTAAACTTGACCCAGCGCTTAGAAGCAGGCAGAGATGGCTTACATCCAGGCTCGGCCCAAGGCCAAATTGAAGATTAAGTTCCGGAAAAAAAGCAGGATAAAAAAGATGCGGCACCACATATTCCTGCGAGACTTGCGCAAATGCAACTCGAAAGAATCATGGCTGCAGGACTGCGGAGAATGGGGGTCCCCCTCGGATTTGTCACCGTCATTATTTGATTGACAGATTAAAGAAATCAACTGATTGAGAACGACATATCGAGTCCAGTCAAATTGCCAAGCATTATTTCATCCAGTAGCCCAACAGAGTAAAGACCAAGACGGAAGTCGGGCATGATTTCACCCCACGTTTTCCTAGTCCGGGGGAACGCAGCCACAAACCAAACTATGTCAAGATCGCATCCTCTTCCCATGAGAATCGGGGTCATGGGAAACTTGCCTCTCCAAATGCGCGTAAATTATTGGCTAAGGTGGCTCAGGAGTTGTGAGATAAACCCCCATGTGAATTAGTGTATTTCTTACGCGTGACCAGAGGTCAAAGTGCTCCGTAACCACACCCCGCGAGAAATTATCATTTCCGGGGAATTTTTTTTTATACTTTGGTACGGTGGCAGTGGTTCCATGGTTATACAATGTATATAGTCCGGTATTTCAAAATTACTTCTGTATTGAAACAGGACCAATAATTGGCCCTGTCCTGCAAGTCTTCTTGGGACGTTGCAAGAAAAGAAGCGACAAGCACACCCGGAGGCGTGAGTGTACCTAGTATCACCAAACTGATAAAAGTTGCGAATCTGCCACCCGCCGGGGTAAATCATACATGAACGACTGAAACCCAGCCGCCAAAGACCCTACAGACAGGGGGTTCGCACGACCTCAAATGCGATAGTAGCCTTACAAAGAAAGTGGCACAGCAAACCTGCAACAATTCCCACCGGACGAAATTCAAGAAACATCAGGGGCGCTACGATGAGGGTGAAAGTGATCCACCACGCTGTAATGGCGGCCAAGATTTTGCGCCTGATTAGCGAGGCTATACCATATAGTTATGGGCAGGCTAGACGGGAGAGCCATTGTAGGATATTTGTCTACCAATAATCCCAGAAACGCTCTGGCGATAGCTAAGGAACACCCAATAACGAAGCGATAGAGCCTTGCGCTAACGGTCGCCGTTTAAGTGAAATGCGACCTCGAAATTAAGATGCTGAATGGGTTCATATTGCTGATATCATACAGCGGAGATAAATTAGAGGAGAGGAGAGGGTGATAAATGTTCTGTGTGTCTCAATCGTTCATGTATGAGCTGGCTATATCTTGATATTGCTACCTTAAGAGCAAATAAATAAAAACTAGGGAACGGGGCTCCCAAAAAAAAGGACTCAACATTAGAATGAGCACAAGGGACGTGTAAAGAGACTGCTGACTTGGCATCCAAGATCTCTCGGATGTTCCCTAACAGCACAGCAAGACCAAAGCCGCTTTAGCACTGCCTAGGATGACCTTGAAACTCACAAATGGACCTATAGGAATCGTTACATCATTTAATAACACTGCCGAGTGATCCAATTTCAATAAAAAACCCCATGCGTGGACCAATCCTGACAGACACCGAGAAATAGAGGAGACATGAACATCATAAAAAACCAAATAGAGGTAAACCGCAAATCACATCTGCCGGGGAATCAAGATGAGAATGACTGATGAAGAAAAACAAAACACACAACAACCAAAATCGGACAGGGAAATCCAAGTCAAGTCCATAAAACCACTAAACGCCGCCACGGCCCATCCTCTCAATTGAACTCATGATCCCGCCTCGGCCGGGAGTAGGCATTGCAATGCCAGATCTGCCACCGATATTACCACGAGTTTGACCCCCGGGAGCACCGTATCTAGGGATGCTCTTTTCCGTAGTGGCAGGGGGCCGGATGCTTTCAGACACAGAACGGCCGATACTGCGACGGAACTCGTCGGGGGTGACTTCACGAGATGGCTGAGCTGGCTTGTCAATGTGGTCATTGTGCACAGAAGATGCCACAGAGGGCTCGCGGTCTCGAGGCTGAGATGGGACGGGCGCCTGCTGCATGGCTAGCCACTCATCGACAGCGGCAACAAGCTCGCTTTTCTCGGCGCGTTCAGATTCCAGGTTTGCACGAGTTCGCTCGGCATAATCTTTCAGAGCAGCCATTTCTCGCTTCAGACCCTCGATCTGGGCCCCCAAGGCACGCTTTTCGGCCTCGTGCTCGTCATTCTCGCGAGCGAAGGAACTGGCGTTAGCCGTGGCCATTGAATCAGATTGCGCAGTATCACGTTCGATACGGAGATGTTTATTTTCCTCGCGTGCGGCGGTAAGTTTCTTCTCCGCCTCACGCAAACGCTTCTCCCAGCGAGATTCGTAGCTCTTCTTCAAGGCCGCAACCTTGGTCTCATGTTTGCCCTTGTAGAGCACATGAAGCTCGCGCGCGACCTTTTCAACAGCATCCTGAACTTCTCGGGCAGTATCTTCAGCTGAGTTAGAAAGCTGGTGAGATGGGCCAGCTTTACCAGTGCTAGATACAGTCGCAGCACGTGCAGCAGAAAGCTGGCGTTCGAGTTCGACAACTTTGCTTTCTAAAGTCTCCTTGCGTTTGTCGGCCTCTTCCGTCTTTCGAGACAGACGGTCACGCTCTCGCTCTCCCTCGACTAATTCGGAGCGGGCGGACCGCAGAACAGTTTCCATCTCATCGACTCGACGTTCCAACTCCGCTTGTTCAATCTCCAGTACCTCTCTACCGGCAGCTTCGTTGTGCACTTCTTCGAGAGCTTCGCCGACACGTCTCTCTGCGTCCGCCACTGCTTTCTTGAGGCTGGCAACCTCGGCCTCTTTGCCACTAAGAGTAGCTTTGAGCGAAGATATGTCAGATAAGAAGCCGGACTTCAATGACTCCAATTCACGTGGAGTGACTGTGGGAATGGATCGAGGAGTAAGCACAGCCGGAATATCAAAGTCCAACAGTGACGACATCTTCCCGGGAGATCGAATGGATTGCCGGGCCGATCGCATGGCCGAACGCCGCGAGGAAGAGAAACGGGCACTTTGAATGGTCTGACGAGGGAAGAAGTTCATTTCATCAGTGAAATCAAACAAATTGGTAGAGTCGACGGGATGAGCCATGTCCCGGGGGCCTCTAGGTCTCGGAGTAGGCGATCCCATTGGTGAATGTGCATCTAGGTAGGGACTCGCTCTGCATGCCCTACGCCCTGGGCTCGGGGTGACCGGATTGACGCTGTGTCGGTGCCCGTCCACAGTGGGAGCCGGGCTGGGGGCGACACTGCCTCGCACCGACTTCATCGGCGACTGGGTGCGGAGTTTTGCAAACGTAGTCATATCAGGGATGGCGGAAAATGTGCTTAAGCAGGTGTCATCCATTGAGTCCTCAACCATCGAATTGTCGTGTGAGACATTCTCTTTATCTCCATTTTCATGAAGTACTGTGCTCATCCCTTCATTATGTCTGTCCTCCATCATGCTGTTGCCGATGGCTGATCGGTCATGCATGGCACTTGTAGCGGAAAGGACGCTCTGGTCATGGAGTATACTAGGCTCCTCTTTGGCATCGATGTGAATCGTGGGTGCATCGGGTCGGCTCACCATACCTTTCTTATGGCGCTCGTTCATCTGTAAATTGTCCTCCAGATCCTGAGGTGTTTGTTCGTAAGATCGTTTGCGGGGAGTTGCTGCAACCGAGCGCTGGCCACCCAGCCCAAGGGATAAACGAGACATCCGGCGCGACTTATGAAGATCGAGGGTGGTTTCCTTGGGACTTGGCTGGAAGAACGAAGTAGGTACTGGAATAGGGGAAGAGGAGTTGGTAGCTGGCGGTGGCTCCGCATGCGCATGTGCCATGGGAGAATCAACTGTCTCTGGTGCTTCGTCGTAGGTGGGCAAGCTCAATTCCGTAGCAAGGGATGGACGCTTCGATGCTACCGGTGAGTCTTGCTTCAACTCACGTAGCTTCGGTGAATCAGCCGCTGTCTCTAGCACTTCAGTGTGGATAGGCGAATCCAGTGCCACAGTCGGCGAAGAATACTTAGACACCATTGGTGAATCGTGTTGCATCTCATCTGGTTCCGAGGAACCGACTGTCGCATTTTTCGCCTCATGGTGGAAAGTCAAATCAGCGGGATCAGGCAATGGCCGCGCTTTGGGAATTGGCGAGTCATTCTGAATTCCGCGCAAGCGATCAAGGTCAACCGTCTCTTCCCGCGCATCGGGGCGGAATGGGGAGCTCGCCGGCTCCTCTAGAGCTAGCCGCCTTCCCAATCCAGGAGACATAGGCTGGACCTCGAGCAGTTTTTGAAACCCCGCTGTCTCTTCTCGGAAATGAGGTCGGGACGGAGAACTTTCGGGGCTCTCCTCCTCCAATGACTCAAGTTGTGGGTATGGCAGAAGAGATGAATGTTGCTCCGGCTGCAAATCTTGGAAGTCCATGGTATCTTCACTGGCGTTAGGACGGAAGGGAGAGCTCATTGGCTCCCCTAGAGCCAGCCGCTTTTCCAAGCCTGGGGACATGTACTGCACCTCGCGCAACCCTCGAAAATCAACTGTATCCTCCGTCGGATGTGGACGAAAGGGAGAGCTTACAGGGCTCTCCTCCTCTAGCGGTCCAAGTTGTGGGTGTGATTGGGACGAGGTCTGTCGCATTTCGCGCAGCTTCTGGAAATCTACGGTGTCTTCGCGTCCCACAAACTGAAATGGTGAGCTCGCACCTTGTTGGTATGATTCGACATCGTTGAAATCGTCATTATCGTGTTCATTATCGTTCTCGGGTTCGTTATGGTAGTAGGGTTCATTTTCATCATAGGCATTCGGACTCGGCGCAGCGTGGTTTGTCCACCCTAGATTCAATGAACTTGAGGTAACAGTATGTTCCGAGGGCTGACCAAGGGTCTTGTGAAGGAAGGGCGAAGAATTCGCCAATTGACATTGTGCGCGCGCGTTCTGGTAGGAGGATGAGAGGGGCGAGAGTGGATTTGACATTATGAAAGCAAGAGTATCCCTGGAGAAATGAAGTGGAAAGGGTTAGCCGTAATTACTCGTCTCCGGTCTGTTTTAAGGACCAGTTCAGTTGGGCCAGAAGAAAGCAGAGCAATGCAGAATTTGTGTATACAAGAAGAGTTGCCGTGTTGACGTTGTTGGGTAAACAAAACTAGTCCTAATTGGGAAGGGTGCATCCATCTAATCAAAGCCTCGAACGCTGTCCTTGACGACACATAGTTCAGGTTTATAAGGGACGTTATATGTAAGATATCACTTCGATTTCTTTTTAGCCGTCGATCCAAATGTGTTTTCAGGTGTCTCTTCCGACGTTTTTCTAGACTATTTTCAAACGTCTTTTTAAAAAAATTTTGCGTACTGGCATTATGAGCTAGAATGAAATTGAATAGTAGGATTGTAGAATCGACAGAACGCAGAACTTCTATTTAATAATTGGTAACATCCCATGACCATGAGTTTAGAATCCCAGAGAAAAAAAAAACAGCACTGTTCGACCTTAGCTACCTAATTCGATACTATCACTGCTTCTGTCTGCCCATCATCTCCATTGACAATGATATGAACGATGTCGTCATGTGGCTGCTCTGGAAGAGCAACATTATGTCAAACAACTGCTGGCCCCACCGTTGCTGATGAACGTTTGTCGCGCTGAATAAACCATAGCTGTAAAGCACCAAATAAAGCAACGAGACTACTCCCCCACCAAGCAAGAGCAGTGCAGCCAATCTCAGCCCCGAAACTGTAAAGCAAGCCAGCAATTGGAGGAGCAAGAGTTCGAGATGCAGCCCCAGCGGAAGCAGCGAGGCCATTGACTTTGCCCATGACGGAGTCTGAAAGACTAGCTTGCTTGACAAGGATCAAGAGGATAGGATAGTCAACAATGGACAGAATATTTCGAAAAATTAAACAAGAATAAATACCGACATAGATGAGCTGACGTGGCAAGAAGACCAGGAAAGGCACAATAAAGTATGCGACTGGATGGAGCACCGTCACGATGACAAAGAGCCGCCAAACTCCCAGATATTGTGCTAAAACGGGGAAAATGATGCTTTGGATCATGAGGGCGATGATGCCATCGGTGGACATGATCACACCCACAGTTCGAGTTGAAAGACCGACTCCGCCCGGGATGTCAAAGAGCGAGTGGCGTGGATGTGACAGCCCTCGGGGGTCCTTATCCTGCAGGAAGATGGGCAAGAGATGGTCATATGTCATCGAATGATAAGTGAAGATAGCTAACGCAACTATAAGTATGGTGACTCGCCTGGTGAAAGCTTTGGGCTTCGGTAACTTTTTCCACGTGGGCGAGGAGCCATCAGCTTGCACACACCAATTCTCATCATTACGCAAGTGACCTCGATTAAAAGTCCGTAAGACTCCGCTCGCAGGTCCACCCCAGCATTAGCAGTTGTGCCAGATGTAACCAGCAACAGCTGCGCAGCTACCTGGTCTAAATGTTCATGGGCCTCGCCAAATTGCATGCCCGGATGGGTCTCTTGCAGGAAGAGACAGCTGCCAACAATGCTAAGCAGAAGTAAGACACAGCACACCAGGTTGGGCAAAAGGTAGGGAAATTTTCCAAAGAGGCCATCGGCTGGGAACAGGAAGGGAAACCCTTCAGCGGGCTTTGCAAGCAAGCCTCCAATAGCTGAGTGAAATTAGCCCTTGCAGTAGAATTTAATCATGAGAATACAGAGACTATACCTACCTGGGCCGATAATCGTTCCAATTGACCATACAAAAGGCATGATGGCGTACGCTCGAGCTGGATACAAATAAATCTTTAACTCCGCTAGAGATGAGAGCATGGCGACAGACTCACGTTAATGTTCAGGTCGCTTGACAAGCTCACCAACCATTGTCTGGATTACTCCAATATTCCCATTCAGGGCTCCACCAAGAGCTCGACCGGCGAGCGCGACCCAGAAGTTAGGGGCCATCCCCACCAGGATCAAGGAGGCCGTAGTGCCCGCGCAGCCGGATATAAGGATGGGCTTCCGGCCCACACGGTCTGAAAGAGCACCCCAGAGCATACCGGTTAGAGCCTCTGCGAGCGAGAATGCCGAAATCAGAATACCGGCGTAGAAGGAGGCATTGTTGCCATTATCCACGTGGAAGTCCTTGACCATCACCCATGAATAGGGGAATATAGAAGTCAAGGCGATAGGCTCTGCAACCCGGCATATTGCTGTTGTTGTGTTGGTTGTTGCCAAGTTCAAACCCGGAGCATTCATAGCATACCTAGAAGGAAGAGCTGTGCTGTTGGAAAGCTGTCGGGAGACGAATGGGATCTTGCCTGTGGTGTCAATGCTATAGCTCTTTGGAGGTAGTTAAGTTCTCAAGACTATCCACCCCGGCAGTGTTGAGTTGATCTTGTCGTCGTTTCACTCACTCGTATCTTACGAGCGGAGCGGCAGGTTTGCTTTCTTTCTGGCTTTGTTTTTGATGTCAAGACAGTCGATTCCGATGTTTTGTTGGAGACATAAACCAAAAAAAGGTGGAAGAAGGGGTTAGGTTGGAAAGTCGGAGGGGGAGAACCTTGGAAAGAGACTTGGGACTTGGATTCCACAGCCGAGGATGGACAGCTGACCCTGTTCCCTATCTAAAGCAATTTAGGATTTTAAATCTTACATAAATCGCATCGCAATGTAATTAGCCATATGAATAAATATGGATCCACATAGCTTATAATTTGGGAATCTTGAATTACATGTAGGCTTGTACCTTTTCCTACAATGTGACGAAAGATTTTGGTGAACCATGTTGCTTGTGGTATTTTGGTAATGGCCTTGGACATGGATGTTGTTCGATATTACCTAGTTATCAGATCAATCACATTTGCTACCATGGCATAATTTGATATAACATATAAGTGATGATGTTGTATAAGATGACAACCTTGGAAGAAACAAACATGAACAAACATGGAAGTCCAAGGTTTCCCCACTCTGCTTTCTTAAAGCCTCCTACAGCCAATCACAGATCACAGAATAATTTGAGTTAGATCCGCAGATCAGCCGCATATGTTGTATGTACCGGGAGAATTCCGTACAACATACTCCGTACATTCACTGGTTTACACATCTCATAAGGAGAAAAAACCTTTTTTGTCCAAAGATTTATACAAACCAAAATGTAGAAAAATAAATGAACATGACACCCCTTGCATCACCTTAAGTCAAATGGGTCAGATTACCAAAATTCGTTGTCAAGGACAGCATAAGCGGCCGACTGTTCAAGGTTAATTATACATGACTATCATTGTTGCCCGTACTACCCGTAGGCATATACCTTACATGGATTGTCAAGAAATCAGAAATCTCACTATTCACCCATCTGAATGCTAAACACAAAGAAGTTCTATCCTGGGCCAGAGAGTAAGAAATGATACGAAAGTTCCAGGGTGAGAGTAAGGAGAAAAAAAAAACAATGAGCATAGAAAAAGATAAGCAGAGATGCCTTCACCGATGACCAATCCCTTGCGCCGGCTAATCCACACATACCATGCGGACCGGATTGTGTCTAGATACCAAACAAAGAAAGTCAAACTGGAAAAACGAAACGAAAAAAAACAACTGTATCACAAAGTAGCCTCCGGATGTGTCGAGGAATTGGTGATTTCGACAGAGCGAGTCTCAAGTTCCTTAGGAAGGATACCAGAGTGATCACGACACTCCACACGAGACTCAATGATATGCGTCGATTCAGGGTTCACATCCGAGAAAGGCTGATGAATCGACGGAGTTGCACTCGAGGAAGAGCGCTCTGTTTGTGGCTTCTTGGAGGTATCCTCGACGTGTTCCGTAGAGTCATCCACCTTCTCCTCGTCTCCAATAACGGCAGCTAGACTGCGGAAATTGTACATTGGCTCAGAAGAGCCGGTATTGCCATCTCCAGCAGCGGCACCAATTGCGCCATCCTCTGGGGTAGTTTCCATAACAGATGAGAGCGATGAAGAGGCGCTGGAGACCTGTCGCAGGTTAGATTGCCGTGACAGCTCGGACGGATCCGCCGATTGACCTGCCGGTGCTGCTGGATCAAGCAGCGGAGGGCGGTTTGTTTCTTCTGCGGTCGATGGCAACGCACGGTCAACTCCCTTGCCTTTGCTACTAGCAGCAATATCTTCACCAATGACATCCTCGCCTATAACAGAGGATGAACCACTAGTCTCCCTAGCTAAATTGGACTCAGCAAGAATGTCCAAAGCAGAGGCGCTAGCATTATTGCCGTACAAGCCAGTCTTGCGAGCCACTTTATCCGCCTTCTTAACCTCCTTCTCCTTCTCCTTCTCCCTCTTTTTGGCCTCCTTTCTTGCCTCTTTCTCTTCCCGCTTGAGGCGCTCGTCTTCGCTGGCCAAACTCAGTCGGATAGCTTCCATCATCATCATTTCCTCAAGATCGTCAATTCGATTGCGCCTCGAGCTTGATCGACCAGCCATGTTACCCACTCCTTCTTCGGCAGAAGCAGAATCGGTATCATGTCCAATTGCTCGAGGTATCCGATCAGCACCTGTACGCTCCGTCAAGAAAGCCAATGCATTGAGGGCGGGTGACGCGGTCCGGCCGCCATACCCTTCTCCGCCGGTAGCTCTGCGCATTCCGCGTCGCCCGATGCCAAACCCGCGCGAGTCACTCCCAGATGCACTGGGGTTGATCAAATACGCCGCAGTGTGAAGGGCAGTCGCTGCTGCAGATCGACGTGCCGCATGGGCTCGTGCATTCGATAATTTGGTCGCCCAGTCCGGTCGAATCCTATCCGTTGTGACTACCGTGGGATCAGTAGCCGATAGTGAGGTCGCACGGCGGCGACCTGGCACAGCTGCATTGGCAGATGATAAAGAGGAGGTGGAGGATACAGGAGAAGTGAAGTTAGGTGAGAGCCGGGCGGTGGGGTCTGGAGCATAAGTCAGGCCCCGGCGGAACGAGGGTGGGGCATAAGTGACTCCGAACTCCGGCTGGACACAGAAGGGGCATGCCGAGGGCTCGGAGACCAGTTGTGACTCGGTCGACTCAGCCTGCTCTCCCTCAGCCGAAGGCGCATTCGCGTTAGGCTCCCCATGCTCCGGGGGGTGCGGGTCCGGGCGTTTGATCTGCACGAAGCACTCAGAGCAAATGGGTTGGTCGCAGCATCGGGTATGATTTAAGTATGGCGGATAGTAGAGAAAACAGATAGGACACTCGCTTGCGTCTTTGTACAAATTGACTTCGATCGGCTGCCCGTTGACAAATGGGTCCTTGGGAAGCTGTAGTTCCCGGGTGGTTGGATCTGTTTGTGAGTTTTGCTTGGAGGTGGTCAAAGCAGCCAAGGTCTTCGCTCTTGTTCGAAAAAGAGGTGAGGTGGATGTTCCGGATGCGATTGGAGATGCTGAGGGTAATGATTGAGGGGGGTTGGAGGACTGCGAAGCATCTGAATTGCAAGATTGCGACCTGGCCGTGATCGGCACTGTCAGATGTTGAATATTTGTCGTATCCGCTGAGGTTTTGTCTGTGATCTTGGATAGTTTGTACTCTAGCTCGGGCGGAATCTCATCAGGCAGGGGAATGGGCATGCCGCGTGCAGCCGCCATAATCTGATGCTCAGCCCACGACTCCGAAAAGTCATCAAGACCTCTCCAGAAGGGAGCCAATCGGCGTTCAATCTAGTTCTGGTGTCAGTATTGGCTACTTCGCATCGAAGGGAATTCCAGGCAAACCTACCATCAGTTGGCGCACCACGGCCTTGTTGTAGTCTTCTATCCCCACATACACGCCCTGTGTCACGAGATAGCCTCCATCGACATGCTCTTCCTTCATACTGCGCTCCCTTTCTTTGAGACGAGCCACCCGTTCCTTCTCCAAGCGGCGGGCTTCGCGCTCTTGTTTTGTCTCTCGACGATTTTCTAACGTGACCACCTCTCGATCATGACTGCCGATTCCCAGAATCGAAAGGTCGGGCCTGCTGCCTCTGGCTGACCGAGAACCATGATACGGTCGACTTGAGGAATCAGAAGCGCCCGAGGATAATTGACTTCGACGACTTGACGGGGCTGTGGAGCGTGACTCCTTGGTCTGGGAGTTTCCCATGTTAGAGCCCAGATGGATGTGAGGGGAAGGATGAGGTATGGGTTAATCCACAGATCCGACAAGTCACGATGATGACCCCGAATCGGATATGGCGGAAAGGGCCCCCAAGGGAGGGGAGGGCTTTATTGGTGAGCAGTAGAATTGGGGGAAGGGTAAAGGGGAGAGGTTATATGCGAGAAAGTTGCAATGCTAATAGTAGAGAGAATGTGTGTTTGTGGAGGTAAGAGGAGTAACTTCCAGAGCGGGGAGTTTGTGATCTGTCCGGAGTAACTGGGGAAGTGAGATCGGTGAGGAATTTACTACACTCCCCCCGATTTCACAGTTCCAGATGTTGACAGATTCACTGATTCAAAATTTCCAGAAATAAAGATAGAAATATCGGATGTGGCGGATGTCAATTTTTCTTTTTCTTTTTTTCTTCCCATTGGGCAAAGTATACCTGTTCATCTTCTAGGTCTAGACTATGTGAATTGCTATCTATAAAATTGGATTCTTCCAAAATAAGCATTATAGATAGATATGTATAAATGATACAACTATATTAACTATATAAAAAGCAAGCTTTCTAATAATTCTTAAACCTGTTGATCCATCGTCATCGTAAAGTCATAGATTACACATGACTTCTACTTTTAGTCGTGCGATGTATGTTGTATATAGAAATCATGAGCCTTTACTTTGCAGAATTCAGGATATTAGCTACTTAACTATATGAATTGGGACATTGCAACATTGTGCATGGTTTCACCGAGGGGATTCCAGGGAGAAACTGGCAATTTAAGCTAACTAGTTACTTAGTTAACTAGTTAACTAGTTAGTTAACTGAGGCCAATTCAGGCCAACATCTAAGGCCAAGATGTGATCGCCTACCTCGGAACCCTCTCAGCCAATAACTATCCTCCATCAAAGGGCGGTGGCACAAAATTAGCTGTACATTATTTCTGCCCCCCAAAAAAGATGGAAGAGCGGTGTTGAGGCTTTGAGAATCTTTCCCAAAAAAATACTTCAAACCTTGACATCCCACAGTCCATGCAATAGTGATAGCCCTACTCATTCCCACCCCTTACCAAGAATTTTCTGGCAATGACTGAAACGACCAGACTACATATCACGCCTTTCACCCAGGATATCCTTCCGTCAGTGCTACCGGCATCTATTCGCAAATTGGCCACAGAAATATCATTCCACGAGATTTCCACCTTTCCCGAGAACAACTACGGATACGTGACTTTGCCAAACATGGAAGCAGAGAAAATCAAGAAGAAGTTGAACGGCTCCATTCTCAAGGGCAAGAAGTTCAAAGTCGAGGCGGCCCGCCCTCAAAAGAGACACCGGGAGGAAGAGGATGTGGTGCCAGAAGCCCCCTCTAGTGCCAAGAAGAAGTCCAAGAAGTCCAAGAAGCACGTGCCCGAGGACGGTGTAGTGGAAGGCTTTGAGCTTCCCGCAGACCGCAAAGTGAAACGAGGCTGGACCGAGTCTAGTGACGCCAAACAGGAAAGACGAAAATCGGAGAAGAAAGAGAAGAAGAGCAAACAGGAGAAATTGCAACCCAAGTCCAAGTACACCGACAAATCCGAATGTCTGTTCCGAGCAACGATTCCACCCAACCGAGCATCCGACGCAAGTTCCGATGATAAGAAAGCAAAGAAAAAGAAAAAGTCCAAGGATAACGTCATCCATGAATTTGAGAAAACGGTGGCCCAGCCAAGTTTCCTACGCACCGCGGAGGAAAGCGTTGCGCCTACGGCCACATTTGAGGATGGGAAAGGCTGGGTGGATTCTACCGGGAATTTGAGAGAACCCGCTAGTGAGAAGATCTCGAAGGACAACTATCGACCTGGTCAGATTCTAGGGGCCAAGGAGAAGCTCCGAGCTGCCAAATCGGCCGCCAAAGACACGAAAAAGCGCCCACGCAAAGAAAAGACCCCAGAGATATCTTCCGAGTCTGAAGATTATACCTCATCGAGTGGCTCATCTTCAGAGGGTAGTGACTCGGAGAGCGAGGTGGCTGAGAACAAGGCTGATGAGAATCCTGAAGATTCATCTGTATCTTCTGATGAGGAGGATGTTAAGCCGCAGTCCCAAGAAGAGACCAAGCCTCCAGAGGCTATTGACGGTGATGCTGATACACCGAGCCAGCCAGACTCGAATGAGATACCCACGGAGGCTGCGCAAGAGATGGAGCAAGAAACACCCGCCAAGGAAGTCCATCCCCTGGAGGCTCTTTTCAAGCGGGCTGCCCCGACGGCATCCGATAACCAACCGACTCCCGAGGCTGAGGCTGGATTCAGCTTCTTCGGTAATGATATTGAATCCGAAGACGAGCCTCAAATGATTGAGCCGCAGACACCCTTCACGAGGCACGACCTACAAAACCGAGGCCAGCGCAGTGCAGCTCCCACCCCAGATACTACTGCCGCCACTCGCCACATGACATGGAATGAGAGTGAGGACTCCGATGAGGACGTTTCTATCGACAGCCCTGTCACAAAGGCTCGCGCGGACGGTGCAACCATGGAAGAAACCGAATTTGCAAAGTGGTTCTGGGAGAATCGTGGTGACAACAATCGCGCCTGGAAAAAGAGGCGACGTGATGCTGCTAAGGAACAGAGACAGAGAGACAACCGGAAGAAGGGAATCAAAGGAAAGTCATGAATGCGAGACCCAGTTTTCGATGAACTTGAGTGATATACATATACGAGGTTGTCAGTAGCCTTTCAATGACATAAACTGCCAAGTACTTCAAGCCAACTGCCTTTTTCTAAGATAGGTCAAATATAAATATCCATCAAAAACACCCCTCCCGACATGCTCCACCGCCAGGTAGTCTTTGGTGGAATGCGTATGCAGTCATGTGACTCGCATTCCATCGTCATGAAACCCAGCCAACCCAGGACTTGTCGCGTCGTCCACTGCATGCCCAGGATGTTTTCTACCTGGTTCCCACAGCGCAGCATACAGATGCTGCTGCTCTTGACATTTTGGTCTCTCACATCATTGGTAGCAGCATCCAGTAAGTGCTAACCTTTCTTCTCCGGTGCCTCATCTCGCCGAGTAGGCGATGGAAAAGCTACCATCTTCGCGTCGAAATTTGTGTGATCCTAATACTCAATGTTTACAGCCCCGACTTCCTTCTGTAAATGCACCTGTTTCTCCAATAGTACGATCATTCCCCTCAATCCTGCCAAGTCCGAAACCTCCTCCGGCATCGACCATGTCCTCCGCTTTTACGAGCGCGACTCGCTCAGCTCCAAGGTTGAGCATACCGATGAATACACAAAACGAGCTCAGAAATACCGATCCCTGAATTGCAACGATTGCAATCGCAAGTTCTGTCTCGACTACGAGCTACCGACATGCAAAGGCGCTAAGGAGGATGATGTGTACACGACTTGCTTCCGTAAGTGATTTGCTGGATCCGGGGAGCAGCTCAGGGAGGAACCGAATTGGACGTGATAACAGATGTGCTGACGGGGGTCTGCGATACCAGAGCGTGATTCGCGGAAAGATGAGGCGGTGGTGTTTATTTTTATTTTTGCTACAGGTGGACTACTGGCTTGGGCTGCCTGCAAGCCTTGGATTGAGCGATATGTCGAGGTAGGCTAAGGCTCATACATATGTGAGCAACTGACTCACCTAATTTAGGCTGCACGAGAACGCAGGTCGTATATACCCGTTGCTGAACCCGATCTCTCAACATGAAATGAGATGAATTCTTTACTGAAATCTTAGGCGAGTGACGAGTGTTGAAGTTTCAGAGAATAGACATGTCAACGGATCACTTGAAGGATGACGAGAATTTGAAATGGACATATGATGGATCCAGAAATCTATCAGCCGGACCAAAAAAAAAAAAAAGGAATTCCGGAGTACAATATCAGTTCAGGGGCACATGAGCACTAATCTCGTATAGTCTGCCAGCTCCTCCAGGTACAGAGTAGATAGATCGATTTTTCTTAGCGCCGTCAGATTTCCACAGATCCAATCCCCACTATCTGAAACAGAGTACTCCGTACAGGATCAACCAATAGATCGGGTCAATTGGAGGAATGTGGTTTAATAGGATCCCTTACACAACTGATACCATATGTTGTACACACTGGATCGGCCAACTGGGCTAATTCGAGTGGATATTCAGAGAAATCTGGTTGATTTCGCCCCCCTCCCCTCCTCCTCCTCCTCCTTCTCCTCCTCCTCATTTTTCTACCTTTTCTCCCCTTGAATTGGTTTGTCTCCCTTTTCTTAAAGAGGATCTGTCCCCAGATCCCAATATTGGAACTGGTGGCGTTGATTTTGGTATAGAGATAGTATACCCGGAGTACTAGAAAATCGGCAAATGGCAATATTCGACTCAGAGAAGCGCCCTCGCGGCCTTCGGGTGCCCTCTCTCGCAGCACTAAGGTCTTCAGCTTTCCAAAAGAAATCTTCTGACTCGGTGCCGTCCGACGAGTCAACCTTCCCCAATCCGGCAGCCTTCCCTCCACCAAAGCCGGCCCCTCCGCCAAACAAGGAACTCCCACTCCCCCCCAAAGTGGATATTCCACCCTCATCTAATAACCCTTACTTCCCCCCGATCCCCTCCGGAGATGCAATCCCAGAACGATACCCAATTGAACGGGTCCCCGTTCCAACGCAGTCGCCTCCCCCTCAGATGACAGGCATGCGCAGCAAGAAACCACGGCCCAATTTCCATGCGCTTCAACAGCGGCCACCTCCAGTGACTTACTCTGCCCCGCCCCAAGTTCCAATCCTGGTCCAGGTTCCAGTTCTCATCGACGAGGCCTACTCTCCTCAGCCGGAAGACTTTATCCCGACCCCAGACAGCGCCGATCCACCCTCAGTGCCAGACCTGCCTCGCGAGGAGCTAGCTCTCTCGCCCTTTGTCCCTCCGGATGTTGAACCCGTGGCACCGAGGTTGAATGAGATCCATCTAACATGCTACCAGCAGCACCGCGCTATGCCCGTGGCGCAGAATACGTGGTGTTCCATGCCGTGCATGACCTGTCAGAAATTTGACACTGAGATCCGACGCCGCTGCGTGTTCTGCTGCCTGCGCATCTGCGAGTCATGCTACCAGATCCTGCAGAAATGTAAGAACCGTTCGGTGGAGGCGCTGGTTAATCAAATTGTCGCCTGATTTCTTGATATCCTTCTCAGTTTAAGGTGTTGGTATGGTCGTGGTGCGTTGATATGAGTGACCTCGAGAGCATACATTGCATGAACACTTGTGCAGGAGGTATAGGTTCTGTTAAGGCTGCGTGTGTTACGTTTTCCTTTCTTTTCCTCTAATCTGTATACTTTTGATGATACCAACCCCATAATGTCTAATGTGGTTCAACCAGGAGAACTGAAGCTGCATATCTATAATCTTCTTTTTTTTTGCATTTGTGACATAAGTGTAGCATTTCGTAAAGAGACATTCGGAAGAGGTCGCGCTATGTGCTATTTTTGATGCCAGATCGTCAGCCCATTACTGTGTCTTGCCGTGTCAAGAGGATTCTCATATGATACAAACGGCTCTGATCAATCGTGATCTTCCTCGGTCAGGCCCGGACACCCTTCCAGCCCAAGATCGGATTCGTAGGCATATTTACACCAGAAGCAATAACGATATCTCTCGCGCAAAAAGAGAACCAGCTTACGCAGTCGCTCAGCTGGCTCTAGCGCATTGAAGGCATCGAGCTCCTCGTCGTCTTCTTCCAGCTCTATTTCCACCGCGGAGGTATCCTGATCTAGATCACTGTCAAGGGCCTTTTTATCCTCCCGGTCCATAGTCGGGTCATCGAATTGAGGTAGCCGTGCTCTGGGGAAAAATGATGAAGGGAGTGAGGATTGGAGGGCATGGCGCGTTTGGCGGTCACTGTCGTTTCTTTCGCGCTCACGGATAAGACCTCGGTAGAGAACGTTGATTTGGGACGTGAGCTTGATTGGCTTCTTCTTTTTCGCAGCTCCGTCGGCTCCATCGCGTAGTTGAGTGGGATCTGTGTGATCACCACCTTCTTTGTTAAACGTGCTCGAAGACCCCGTTCCTTGTTCTTTCTCTTCGCCAGTGGCAGCCCCACTCTCGGGTTCTGCATCCAGCCTCTCTGCAACTTTCTGCGCAGCGCGCACTTGCGCTTCAGTGCGTTTCAACTCGCGCTCTTCACGAACACGATCTCGGTAACTCCCTTCTTCATGTTTGATTCTCTTTGCTGCTTCTTCTGCTTCCTCGCGAAGCTTACGCTTTTTCTCCGTGTCTAGCCCGATTCCGCCGCGGTTTTCTTTCAATGTTAGGTTTAGCGGTACAGCGCGCGGCTTTAGAAAAGAGTCGGTGGTTTCAGAGTCGCTGGCGGTAACGGGTTTGCCAAGTACACCACCAGGCTTATACCCAAGTTTTGCCATCATTTGGAACCCTTTGTTGGTGGGGTTGAGGGTGCTTGTGGCCAAGGCTTCTTCTCGGCGCATGGCTTCCTGAGCGGCGCGTTCAGCTTTGGATGGGACTCGGCCTCGGGCCTCGGCCTGCATGTGGAAAAGAATGTTAGAATTGGGTTGGAATTTAGCCGGAGACAGATATGGCGTTGGGTTAGAATGTGGAAACGGTACCTCTCGTAGTTCACGGCGCTTTTTTTGGGCGAAAGTCTCTTTTTGAATGGGCTCCTCGATTACCATGTTCATATAGTCGTCCTCATCTTCCGAAGCCATTGTTGCCAAAAGTCAAGGGATGGTTTAGAAGGTGAAGAGGGAGAGATCCGCAGACGGAAGAAAACGCTTTTGGGTTTTGCGGGGAATTGTGGGTCCTCGGATGGGGCTCCAAAGCACACTTACACACTTTACACACTGTGAAATATGATATCACATCTATCATGGGATTTGTAGTATTCCTTGTAGAGGATGTCAGATTTAAAGTCAATTCGTCGGTCTCTTACTGGGCAACGGATTTAGAAGGCTGGAAAAAACAAATCTACATCTCTACAACATAAACAAAGAAGCTATCTAGGTATCTATGCCGAGGAAAATCCCTCTAAAATATGTCTATATTAGTTTCAATACAGGCTGCATTATTTAAGATGCCTTTAAATGTCTCACACTATCATCTCTCTTGCCCTTACAGTGGATGGTATAGTGCATTGTACATATGACTATATAGTTTCTTGCGAGTAACATCAGGTGGAGACACATATAAATCATGGAGCTGCGTTCCTACTGTCTACTTCTGAGGCCGAATGGTCTGACAATTGCTGGAATAACCTACATACAATGTCTTCAATGGTCACTGTTCTTCCCTGTATAGCTCCCTAGCTGCACATGTGACACACCCCCGCAAGCGTCGAGCATGCATGTCCCAATGAAGCAACAATGGCGCAAGGAATTTGTCATTATGAGTTCTATGCGCTGTCACCGTGACTTCAATGGACAAGGGTCAAATTTTCTTATTACTCCGTGGAGCCCTTTATAAGCCCATGGCATCGACCGGTTCACAATCAGACTATCAGTTACCATGGCGATTCTCTTTGCTGTCTGTTTCTTGCTATCCCTGGCATCAGCTTCTACAGTGGTAGATCTGGGCTATGCTAGCTATGAGGGTCGTACAATTTCCACCGGAATCACGCAGTGGCTTGGCATGCGGTTTGCTGCTCCTCCTGTAGGAGATCTGCGATTCGCTGCCCCGCAGAATCCTTTGTCTGTCGAGGGAATACAGCAAGCAACCGAGGTATGTATCTCTTGTTCTCAGCTACCCATAGATGGCTGCTGACCATTCACTACTAGCATGGAAGTATATGCATCCCTACAGCAGCAAGTGAAGGCCGAGCAGTCCCAGCAGGAACCTCAGAGGACTGTCTGTTTCTAGATATATATGCTCCCACAGATGCAGTAAAAGGTTCAAAAAAACTGCCCGTCTTCTTTTGGATCCAAGGAGGAGGCTTTGCAGTCAATTCAAATGCCAACTATAACGGCACTGGATTGATAAAGGCATCCGGAAATAACATGGTAGTGGTCACTTCCAACTACCGAGTTGGACCCTACGGATTTCTTGCCGGAGAAGAGATTGAAAAAGGAGCTAGTCTGAATAATGGTCTGAAAGACCAACGCAAGGCACTGAAGTGGGTTCAGCAGTATATCAGCAAAGTAAGTCAAGTCGACATTCCTTGTTCCTCTCCTGGTTTCGTTGTTGGTGTTGACACTGTCTCTAGTTTGGTGGAGACCCTAAACATGTTGTCATTGGTGGTGATAGTGCTGGTGCTGCCTCGGTGACTCTCATGCTCTCGGCGTATGGTGGCAGAGACGAAGGCTTGTTTGTTGGAGCTGCTGCACAGTCCCAGAGCTTTGCCCAGATGCTCAACGTTACCGAAAGTCAATTTGCATACGATGCCCTGGTAACTGCGACTGCATGTGACAGTAGTCAAAATACTTTGGCGTGCCTGCGCAACCTCGATGTCAATGCTTTGCAGCAGAAGAACGTTAACAGACCCAACCCAGGAGCACAAGGGAAGCCTTTGTACCTGTACGGACCCACAATCGACGAGGACCTGGTGCCAGACTACACGTACCGGCTCTTTCATGAAGGTAAATTCATCAAAGTACCGGTATTATTTGGCGATGACACCAATGAGGGCACGAGATTCGTTACCAAGAGCACCTCCAATGTCGAGGAGGCAGATACGTTCATCCGGAACCAATTTCCAGCAATCAAACAGGCCCATCTTGCCAGGATCAACGGTATATATCTTACTCCAAACCAGACGGAGGAATTTCCTGGCGCCGGGTCCTACTGGCGGCCGGCAAGCACGGCGTACGGCGAAATTCGCTACATCTGTCCCGGAATTGATATGTCTTCTATCTACGCAGCGGCAGGTGTTCCAAGCTGGAATTACCACTACGCAGTTCAGGACCCCGACGATGAGAGCTCAGGATTAGGCACACCGCACACTGTCGAAGTGAATGCAATCTGGGGTCCGACCAATACTGGCCACAAAGCTCCAGCTTCATACTACACCACCAACGCAGGCATCGTGCCTATGATGCAGGGCTACTGGGCAAGTTTTATTACGTCTTTGGACCCCAACGCCAAACGTCTTCTTTCGAGTCCAAAGTGGCAGACTTGGGGTCAAGGTAGTGATGCATACCAGCGGATCTTCATTCGAACCAACGAGACTAGAATGGAGACAGTGCCACAGGGACAAAGAAACCGATGTAAATATTTGACTAGCATTGGTCTTGATTTGAAGCAGTAGCATATAGTACTTATACCCCTCGGAAAGAAATGAAATTGTGACCTTGAACTAATCGGTAATTTACGAAACTGGGACTAGCGAATTTTGTAGACTTCGTAGATCTCGATGAAGTTGACTTTTCTCCCCCCCCCCAGCCTTACGCCAGACGAACAGTGATGTTTATACCAGCCCAACAGGATGTACAACCAAGTGCGATGTATGAAAAACAGACGTGGAAAAGAAGTCGAAATGCAATTTGCGAAAAGCAAGATTACCGCTTGCCACGCGCCCGCTCGTACTCGTTGGCGGCACGTCCCTCCTGGCTCTGAATCTCCGCCACAAGACGCTTGTACTTCTTCTCGTACTCGGAGTCGCGCTCCTTCTTCTCGCGTAGCTGCTCGCGAGCAATGAAGCTGGCGTCCTTGCGGAGCTCGCGCATGGCGCCCTTGCGCTCGCGTTTGAACTCCTTCTTGAGACGGTTGGACTCGGCACGCTCGCGATCTGGATCGTAGTGCTTGTCTGGGTTGAAGTTCTCCTCGAACTTTGGAATGGCCGTCTTGATGGCCAGGGGTTTATGGTCGTGCAGGAACAACGGGCGACGAACAAGACGAGCCTGTGCAAGGTGGGAATCGATCTTGTCCAAGGTGCTCTGCAGGGGCTCTCGGGCTGCTGCGTATACCTTGCTCTTGAGGGATTGGCGGAGGTACTGCAGAACGGCACGGACTGGTGTAAAGATCTCAGTGAAAGCAGATTTCTCGGCCCAAACATCAGAAGCGGAGCCAAGGAGAGACACCAAAGTGGTGAGAAGGGAGATCTTGAGCTCCTCCTGCGCCTGAGGATCAGAAGGAGAAGTGGTCACATCGCGGAATTGCAGCTTGCGAGGTGTGACCTTTTCGGAGGGCACGAGCTGAACTGATTCCTGTGACTTTCTGTAAGGAAAAGCTCCAAACTTGACAGTCGGCTCCGTCGGAGCAAGATTGCAGAGAGCATTTAGAGTGTAGTTGACAAACTCGGGCATATACCTCTTCGAAGCCTTTTGATATTGGAGGCAAAGACTTGCGGCAAATGTGCCACTTGCAAGGTCTGCGAGCGAGGTGGTGGTGCATTGGCCCAGGTATCGCGCAAGGCAGAGATGAGCGGGTGTGGCTGTGGTGTGGAAGTGATCCGACGTGGGGAAGAAGGTTGAGAGGCCGGTAAGCAAGATGAGGTCGCCAGGCAGTAGATTGAGTGGGCGTTCCTTGCCAATCTCACGAAGTTGCGCTCGGCATGCGATTGTCACGTTCAAAGGATGGGTCTTAGCTAAAGAATGAATGTGACGAATGATATTCTCCAAAATAGCAAATGGAGGATGCTCAGTCTTGTTACCCATGTAAGAAACATGTTCAATAAGAACTTCAGCAAATCGTCCAAGCTTGTCCTTGTTGCCAGGCTTAAGCCGGGGATGATGCAATGCTCGAATGCGCTGGATGACTGTTGGGATTTCCTCGACAGGCACGTTCTTTGTGATACCCAGAAAGCTTTCGTGGTCCTTTGGACAAGGATACGTGAATGCGAGCTTTCCATTTGCGTCTTTGTTAACCTCGGCAGCTGTTGAAGCGGCAGCGGAATCTTCTATCGGTAGCGTCATTCCGTTGATGTGCTCGTCCTCCCCATCTGGCCCGTCAGACTCATCGCTTGACTCATCTTCCTCCTCTTCCATATCACTATCACCTATGGCAAGGCTGGCATTTGAATCTGTCTCGACCAAATCTTCATCGATGATGAAATCGTCTTCATCTTCGACACCGAGTTCAGGGCGTGTTTCAGTAGGGTAAGATGGAAGGCCAAAATGCATAGCATCGTCAATTTCCGACTCGTCATCCTCGGGTGTTTCGTCCTGATCCATATTGTCCTCCTCGTCATCAGTGAGCTGCTCTCCACGCATACGTCGAAGGCGATCGTTCTCAAGTTTCTTGAGTCGCTCGGCCTCTTCCTCTGCCTTCTCCTCCTCGGTCTTCGTACGATCTGTAGGCTTTGATCGTTGATCGAATGTCATCTGTCTGAGTCGCTGATCATATTCCTTCTCCGGATCTTTGCTGTTTTGTGACTCTTCCAGCATGGCAGCACGCTCTGGGTTCATCTCTGAGAAATCATGCTTTGGTGCCTCTGGCTTGGCTGGCTTGGCTGCGGGCTTGATGCCCCGCAGAGCCTCGAAAAGATCAGGAAGTTCCTTATCCAAGGCTTCCCGTAGATCTTCGTCATCATCTTTGGCCTGTTGACGTTCTGCTTTGTAGAACTTGGACTTGGCAATGACTTCTTTCATGACCTCGGCCTTGGTCTTTTTGCGCCCTGGCTGTTCTTCGTCTCCATAGTCGATGAAGTCTTCCTGGTCATGATCCTGACCCTGGTCTTCATCGCCATCGGGGAATCGCTTCCGTTTCCGCGACGCTTCCTCGTCGGATTCAGCATCATCCAAGTCTCCGGCCTCGAAGTCGTCTTGGTTTGGTCCGTCGAACGACAAGGATTGACCCATGTGAGTAAGCTGCATCTCATCATCATCGTCCTCGAGGTTGAACATGGACTCCTTCCGCATCTTTCTCTGGCTCTCTCGCGCAAATCTCTCGGCGGCCCGTTCCTCGGGTGTCATGGTGGGATCATTCTCACCGAATCGACGATCGACAAGTCCACCGATCTTGTTTCGGCTGTTCATTTCTTTCAGAAGAGTGGCGCGTCGCTAGTTAAGTCAGCTTCATAACCGTAGTACTTGAGGAAAGCAGACAAGCCTACTCTTTCTTCACCCAGTGATTTGGTAACACCTGGGCGAGCGCCACCTCCAGCGGTCGTATTGCCGTCTCTGGTTGTGACATCGAACTTGCTGGATTTGTTTATCGTTTTAATCTCGAAAGGGTTGAACCTATCTCGAATGGCTTGCAAGGCAACCTCGCGCTGGTTGCGATTCTTCGCACCAACTCCGGTTTTCGCATTTTGTCGTTTTTCTCTCTTAGACTTCTGAGGAGCAAGAATTCCATTTTCACGGAGCGAGGCCTTCAGCTGTTTGAGCTGAGAAGGCGGCATTTTTTGCTATTGGGTATGAATTCGAGAGTTGGGAGTTTTTTCCCCCCGTCGTGATTCTCATCAAAAAAATCAGGTACACCGCCTCCGCGGCCTGCGCTGATCAAGGTTCTGCCGATTGTGTTCTCCGCATCTCTCCAACCCTCACAACCACTATGGCTCCCTTTTCAGGGGATGGTGTGCTATGGCTATGCCTGGGTATGGACGCATTTGCTTGAACAGTTGAGTTAGGCTCGGATGATTAACTTATCTAGGCGTCTCACTGTTCTTTGCTGTCCGCGGCATCGCCAGAGACCTCCGCCAAGTCGTCGACCTTACAGAAATCAAACATGTTGAGAAGGAAGACAAGATCATCAGCGAGGGAACTGAAGAAGGTGCGCAAAGCTCTAAATTAAATATCTTACAGTACTAACAAACCCTAAAGCTCTCAAGTTAGACACCCTCTTGAAGCTTTCTCAAAGCACAAGCCATGACCTCCGAGCTGCGTACGCTTTGACAATGCTATTATGAACTGCTTTGTGCGTCGGCTAATTTTCCAGGGCTTTGCGCATAATTTCGGAACGATCTACCAAGGGAGATGCTCGTGACTTACTATTGGAGGAACTGGCATCTAGAAACAAAATTCACCAACGGCGAGCTCTAAATGCAATGAACTTCCTAGTTTCAAACCGAGCCCGTATGCCACCCGATTTGCCCCATATTGACAGTATATGGATGTTTATTTTATTCTACAGTCACTCGAACCTCAGTTTGCACTCGACTCGCCGACGTACCCACATTTACTGCCATTATCAACTGCCTTTGCAACTTACTAGAAGAGCACTTAGAGAAGACATCTACGACTAATTCGCCCATCTTGCCAAAGACCCGGCCGATCGGAGAGAGGAAGGCGTTGAACATTCTGAATGTCTTGTTGCCAGAGAACATACCCGACGCACTGGAAGCGGGGATCATCAGTCGATGGCTCTGCAGATATCCATTCCCATGTGCAATAGCCGAGCCTTCTCGCCGGCGGGACGTGGTAATTCTCATGAAAACATGGTGGTCAGATGATGTAGTCATGAGCGCGATTTTCAGCGCGCTTTCCTCGCACCCGGATGGGATCAAGCAGCTGCGGAAACATGGCCTGATGGGCAGCATGATTGAAGAAAATGACCACGACGATGAGGATGACGCGGACAGTGATGTATGGATGGTAGATGCGGATGAGGTAGGAGGCTCCTTTGGACGAACTCCTTCGCGCAGACTTCAGGAGGGGAGTGCCGACGAGCAAGCACTTCGTCGCCGCAGGAGAGAAGCTATGGTTTTGAGTGACGGTGAACGGCCAATTGGAAATGACGACATAATCCAACGACCCATTGATTGATCACGGTGAATTCGTGCTCTTCATGATCTTCAACGTGTCTGCATCACCAGACAACCAAGTCTCAAAACTAGCTCGTCAGCTACTGTAACTTTATGTCCATGATACCCCATTCCAGAAACGTGATATGCAATGAATTTTGATTGAACCTCAATTTAAAACTAAAGCCCCATCCATGCTGATTTGGCCAAATGATCAGTCTTCTTCCGACTGTTCTTGATCACACCGAACGCCTTCAATTCCGAGAGAGCGCCATAGAACAAAGACATTACGGCTCGGTCATCGCAGCCATCAGCCTCTTCGGTTTCAAATACACCATAGAAAGCCTGCCAGAGATCATGAATATTCACCAGAGCGCCTGAATCAAGGTACAACTGATAAAGGATTGCGGTGGCAGGTTGCTTGGCCGAGACCTTGGTCATAGTGACATCTGACGAGGAAAGCAGGTAATCAAAGGGAGTAGCTAGGGCGCGCTCGATTGCAAAGCGCGGCCGAGGGGCAAAAGTCTCCTTGATTGGATTTCGCAGATCAAACAAGAAGGCTTCGTGTAGAAACAGATCTTGTGGGTCGATAAGGGTTTCTGTGAGATGCACTTGCAAAAGAGCAA